GAACAATGCCGCGTGTTTTCTTATCCGCATCGCACGTTCGATCCGGGGAGAAAAATGCCACTCGCTTTTGACGCCACACCGCGGATGATGACGTGTGACGCCGGGATCCGCGATCCGTCGTCGTCGTCGTGAGAGCGCGAGACGCCGGAACGGGAGTAATGACGCGAACGACGAGACGATAACCGGGGGGACTTTGGACGGCGATAAGCGATTAAGATACTTATCAGGATACACGCTGGACCGCGCGGCGATACGAAAGGAAATGGCCGTCGATATTAACGACGACAGCCCAGTAGCTTCTTATCTTTGTGAATTCGATATTTCTCGAGTGACGCAAATATCGTACTAAGGGAAAGTTCCATAAAGTTCCTTTGTAAATTTGCACGCATATTCGGAGCACATTTGTGACGCGTGCTTCCTCTCTAAATATTCGTTCGCATCACGGCTGTCAATTCGAGAAATGGTGAAGCTATACTAAGCAGCTGGAAGCGATATTTCGATAGTTTGTCGTATCAATATTTGACGAATAACAATAATATTATTAATAATACAACAATAATGTTTCTTGATTAATTAGCAATTAATTATGATACGAGAATATTTAGATAGGACATACGGCGGCCCCGAATATGCCCCGAATATGCCCCGGTATGCGTGCAACATGTATAAGGCATTCATATTTCCGCACATGTACAGTCGTGCACAGATTGGTTGCGACACTTTTTTTTTATAGGTTTCAAAACGCACTAATATTTTGCAAATGCGAATCACGATTGGTGTTACACTGTCTCTAGATTAAATATAGTACATCGTGGTCCGCATTTGCAAAATATTAGTTACAATATTAGTTTTGCAAAATATATATATTATATTAAATATATATTAGAAAATTTAACCTATAAAAAAAAATATAACCGATCTGTCCACGACTGTACATACATTAGTAGACTGCGCATTCTAAAGACCGAAGTGTGAATGCAGATTGTTCCATGTTAAAAGTCCAGAAAAATATTAAAAGAAAAGGGAATGTTGCGGGAACTATATACATTCCGTATTTTGTTTTGTGCTAAAATGCTTCCTTTTTTTCGAAATCCTGATAACGAATTTTTTCCAATTAACAATTTTTGAACACAAAGATATTTTATATGATAATTTTGTATCCCTCCCATGCAAGTCAACTGTGAGTGATAAATAATCAGCTCATACTGCTTGATTGAATGAACAAATTCGATTTTTGTTCTCTGACATTCGTCGATTTTTGGATCGTATGTCTGCTGGATCAGCATCAGAAAAAAAGGAAGCCTCTCAGTATATTGCTGATGCTATATATACTTTTATTAAAACATGACGGTACGTGGAACTTTCGAGGGTTCGAATTTCTCGTTGCGTCAAGTGACAGTATGACAGGCTACCAGTGAACTATGTGTTCAGGGACTTAATCCTGCTCTCTTTACCTCTCCGTGACTGTAATCGGGCCGATTGCAAGCGGTATTGTGCGATTTAAGCAGAAATTATCTCCTCCTTTTCATTTCGCTAGATTTAAATTTATTTCGACGAAAAACGTCCGAGCGCATAACTGTGTTAGGATTGTAAAAGGCTTGTTTACGAAAATACGGGAAATCGAGTGTCGCAACATTGAAAATTCAAATCCGAGAATCGGTCGATGCACACGATCCATATATTCATATTAAGAACTGAAGAACCGATGATTAGATAAATCGAATTTAAATCCTTCATTTTACGGAACTGACGAGTCAGAAATGCGCGGCATTTTGTGAACAGGAAATTCTTTATGATAATTTGTAAGAGCCGGTTTATAAGTAACATAAAAACTCGTTTATTTTTCTCGGGAATCGTATCGCTTTATCGGGAAGATTTCGCACTGTCGCGCGTCTGTCGGTCGATTACACGCGTCTCATCTCGCGAGCTTTCCATTGTCGATATCGAAAATTTATTAGTAGCATATTTTATTCTCGTATTAAAGAATTTGCTTAAGAGTGAAAAATCGACGGGAAGTTTGCTCGGTGACAATTTTACTCGAAAAATTTCGCTCGATGTCGTTCGCGCGCGAGTGAAGAATTCCACTTGGGAAACTCGAAAAAGAGACTTATAAATTGGTGAATGCGCCACGAGACGTTTTAGAAGATCAAGTAAATTGCGAATAGATCTGGATCCGCTCGTGCGCGGGCCATTTCGCAATTGTGCGTGCAACGACCCGTGCGGACTCCAGAGGTCCCCGATAAATTGCAGAGAGAAGAATCGAGTAGCACAACAATTATTTCCACTCTCCCCCCTTGCGTGTGATTGGCCTTTTTTTGGCCGAAACGACGACCACGTTTAAAACGACCGCCACTTATGTTAAACGCACGCGTAACGGAACGCAGATCGCACTAAATTCCACAGTTCAATTGCATCGCGAGCCGCAGTAGAGCGAGACGGCGGCGAGTCGGCTGCGTGGCCGATTAGAGAGATATAACGAAGGATAATATATATACTCCGTTTCTCTCTCTTTCCTAAGTGCCCTTGCGTCGGCGCGCTCGATACGCGTTCTCGGCATTTCCTCCGCGCCGCGCCCGTCCGCATGACACGCTTAAATCTCTGCAAAATTGAATAAGATATTCCGAGTACACAAAATGATCGAGTTATACAATTAGCCCGGCGTCTAAACAAAAAAGTTGTATAATGATTGCATTACGGGGATCGACGTAAAATAAATAGATAAAGAGGCTTTTTCTTTGCGCGACGAGCGTCTCCTCGGGATACGCCATACGCGGGATCGTGTAGCGAACGTAATTGGGTCGAAAAAATGCTAGAAATCTCCGTGGCACTTGTAGACGCAAAACTAATATCTAGAGGGAGTCGCAAGAGTTTCCAAGCGACGACGGCTTTGGAAACTTCCGTCTGGGACCGAAGTGACCAAGTAAACTTTTGCACAAAGCTGTCCGCGAAACGCGATAAACGTACGCAGCCTAGAAAACACGTTGCGGCTCTCCGTTCCTGCGACGTTAAGTCCTCCCGGCTTTGTACCGTACTTTATACAAACCCGTCAGTGTCTGCAAACACTCGAGTCATGTAGAATCAATGCTCGCGCGAGGTTCAAGATCCGCGGTTACGCACGATTTTCGCATTTGAGGCGCATATCTCGAGAATTCTTTTTTAAGATTTAGGCATAAAAACATGTTTCTCTGAAACGTAATTTTGCATTGTAGAAGAATAATTCGATTTCGACGATTTCGCTGTATGCAACTTCTATTTGCGAACGTTGAGAAATTGTGAACATTATACAACTTTGCCGTATCTCTTCGCTGCTTTCCATCGACCGGTAACGGAAAAATTTTTGACGCTGATAATTTTCTTATGCACGCGTGCATGCGTGCGTGCGTGCGAGAAATAATAAATGTGCACGACCAGAAAATGCGTTCTGCGTATAGCTCGTAACGGACCGACCGAGCAAACCTGTCTCGCGTCGCGCTCGTAGGGGCCCCCCCATTAAAGAGAAGGGGTACGGAGGGGCGCGGTGGTGTGTTACGTCTCCTTCCTTTAGAGAGGGAACGGAATATCTCGGGAGAACCTCTCTTCTCGAGCCAGGTTTCCAGCGGTCTATCGATCGGCTCAACAACCGGCAGTAGCCGTAATTAACGTTAGCCGGCTGAAAAATAATGCCGCGGAATGCGCCGCTCGATCGCTCGCGAGTATCTTTTGCTCTTTAAAACCGCGTTGTTCCCTCAAAACCGCGTTATCTTTGTGTGTTCCGTCGTCGTGATATATGTACACGAGGGATCGAAATTCTTACAAAACTTACACACGCACGTTTATTTCTTCTCGTTTAATCGACTTTTCCGTAACGACATTTTACACCCTCGATGTGGAATATTATAAAATAATTTACATTGTAACTGTATGTACGCGTTTTCGTGTAATGTCTCGACAATTTTCGTATTTTGTTTTTCTTACGCAGTGCTCGCTGATGTAAAGATCGAAAGCCCGTCACGTTGCGTTCCGCGAAAAATCGTTACACGCTTCTTTCTTTTATGCTGGACAATAAATTTTATTTTCGTTCGTCTGATTCGACGCGTGAAAGTGCACCGCGCCGAAATGAGACCGTGAACTCCGGAAAATTGATGTTTTATTTCACTCAGTTCCACCATAAGCGTTACGAATGACGGCATAATTTAAAACTTGCGGAAAGGAGAGGTCGAGCAAATGTTACGGTCTTTTCGTCTTCATATTTCACGATGTCGGATAATCTTAAAGAGTTAAAAATTTCGAAATCAGCGCGAAATAAGTGTTGCAGATCGATAAGTAACTTTATTTGACGAATGTAAATAATAATAATAACAGTAATGATAATAATGAAACATAAATAATACGACGGCTTCGTGCATAAAATAGATCCACTTGATTATGTTATGTAGACTCAGTATAGTCCCGTAATTCTCAAACGGACTTACTAAGTTAATACAGTGCGGTGTATCGCATTCCCGGAATCGCCGCTCCTCGACGGCTGGTTGGCCGCGCGCTATTGTTATGCTAATTCCGAAGTTTACTCCGAACCATTTATTTCTATGTGAATTCAACGCCCCGATAAATAAATTTCGCCACGATAATCTCCCGCGTCGTATAAATCAAACTCAACAAATTCCATCATCAATTTATTGCATATGTCATGCAATCGTGATCGGTATTAATATTGATTGTGATTGAAAAGAGGTATGTGTCACGGCATACCGTTAGCTCGAAGGTAAAAGGGCGAGTAATAAATAGCGGATAATTAAATAAAGAACGAGTAGCAATTTACAATGATATATTGCGCGACAGTGCGAATTATCCGCGCGAGCGATGCCTTTATCTTCAAAGTACCCAAAGGGTGTCTTTTTTAATTTTTATTTTTGAAAACTAAAAGAGCCTTTTTTGCCGAAATGTAAAAATATACAGAAAAGGGAAAAAAGCAACAATGGGTGACGTATAGTTTTGTAACCCAAATGTTTCTCTGATTCCAGTACGAGGACCGAGACTACCTGGGAGCGCTTGAGGAGCACGTCCCCCGAGACTCCCCCGATCAAAATCACTCGCCTAACCTCTCCCCTGTCCTCCTTGCCCTCCTCCACATCCTTCCCCTCCGCAAACGTCGAGAAGGTCTCCAATCGAAGCCACAAGATCCGCAATCACACGATGGACGGCATGGACAACAAGCCGGTGTTGAACGATGATCCCTCGGTCACCCTGACCATCCGCCTGATTATGCAGGGCAAAGTAAGTTACTTGTTATATCTTGGCGCAAAATAATTTCATCGAATTTATTTAATGCGAGTACGAACGTTTAAGCTGAGTTTAAATCGGGCGTTTCGAATCGCTGGGCATGTTTATCGCGCGTTTTAGCGTCGCTCGCTCGATTTATTTCGCATGCACTCTTTTCTCTTTTTTTCCCCCGACTAATCCAAAGTGCAAAGCATTAAGCGTTTTATAGGAGATTGCACAAGGAATTTAATGTTCTCTTTAATACGCGTATTTTTACATTACGCGGATTTTAATGGTTTTTCACGTAAATATTTTTCAATCATTTTCGCGTTTCTTTTACATCAGTTCTAAATTCGGTGACCTAAAATACAATAAAATTGGAACAGAATTTTTTTGTATTAACGCTAACATTTGAGATTATTACTCGCGTGTCTCGTTATGAAATTAGAAAAGCAACAGTAATAAGATAATGCATTATCGAGGGCGGAAAACTCGTATGTGCGAATGTATGTGCGTATGTGTACATTGTGGGTGTGCGTTCAAAATCTCGTATCAAACAACCTCCCACTGGATATCAATTGATATCCGTTTTGTAGAGTCGCGTTGGTTCGGCGAATAAATCACATTTATCGTTCGTATCTCATTTCGGAGCGCATGCTTTTCGACGGTTTGCGAGACGCGTACTGCTTTAAAAAAAAAAACATTAAAGGCACGCTACAACTATTTCTGATAAAACGTTTCGACGCGTGTCGATACGTTTTGGATTTATCGCGTTCGCGTTAGCGCGTGAAAATATCTACAGCATCCGCCGCTCGCTTTCCGGACCGCTGTGCGATGTATTTGCCGGAGTTCCAAGGAAAAGACATAATTGCTTAGCTGGCGTGGCGATGATAAATTTCAGACGCGTCACTCGCGGTCCTCACTGTCACTTACAGTATGTTCTCTTTTTGACAATTACTGCGAATTATTTACGAGAGGCCGACCGCGCCTTTCGACACATTGTGGCTGGTCACAAGCGACTTCTGGCACGTAACATAATTCTTCCATCGGAATGGGAAAGCTGAGCTTATTTTACATCAGCCAGACATCCATTCGTGTGCAGGGAACGGGGAATTAGAATAACGGAGCTTATGATGGTCTCTTCTTTTTTTTCCGTTTAATTAATTTTTACGGGACCGACGTCGCTCGATTCGTCGCGGATTTGAAGTCGATACGGGGAACGGAAGCGCGCGGAAGATAAGGTCTCGGAATTACGATGTTATTACCGTCCTTTGTTCACAGATCAAAGTCATTATCACGGAAATAAGTTTCACCTGCGATAAATTGCGTTTAAGGATTAACCGCGTTGGTTCAGATAACGTCGCTATCGGGGTGACTTACAAAGGTCATTTGTCATTACTACGGTTGTACGTCGCGCGACCTCTCCCACTGAAAAGTGAATTGAACGTCCTACGATTCTGTACGAGTAGAAGCTCATCGGAATCATCGTTTCGACCGCTCGCGAGGCAGACAGACAATGTGTCCCGAAGCGTACGAGCGTTTGACGCGCTGCCAAGAATCCGGAGGTTGTTGTTTTTCGCGTAAACTACGTTGCGATCTTCGTGTCGCATAAACTGGTTTTTGCGAGATTTTTGTATCAGAATTTCTGTCTACGGAAAGCTCGATGAGAAATCGAGCAATTGTCGGTTATCATTTATCAATAGCGCGTGTCTCGCGGCACTTAACGTCTCGAAATTAGATTCATGTTACGTCGAAGTTTATTGGATATTACGCAGCGAATCGAATTTGCGACGTGGAATTGAATGACTGCCGCATCCTTGGCAATAAATTTGAAAGCGGTCTTTGCTGCGATAAAGACGCGTGTGTAAATTCCATTGTGAACGCGGTTAGGAGCTGCTTGATTACTTGGCGAGAAAGGAAACATCGTCTGTTCGTTGAAATCACGTGATTTTCGAGCTGGGAAATTTGTGCGTTTTTTTTTTTTATAATCCTTTGAGTCGCGACGAAAATATTTAAAGAGCGGTCTCTCTCATGCGGAGCCTCGGTTGGCCGACTCGGATACCGGGAAAATGGAGAACCGTTGTAAAGATCATGCGCGGGAATGAAGCAGAGGGCAATTACACGAACGTTTCAGTTGGACGGTGACAAGGGGTGGAGGAGAGGTGCACTCGTGGTTATCGGCAAAAGCAATTTTCGTGTTACAACGTTTCAACTCTTTGCCCTGCATGTTACGTCTTCCCTTTGTGGACATCTACGAAAGTGGCACACCCGCTATGCGCGGACGTGTGCCCCCTTTGTCTGAGATTTCATTCTCAGTCATCTTCGGTGAAGAATCCGATTTTTAGTCCGATTTAAACCGTCTCGTCGCCCTATCACCGTTGATCCACGGTCCGTGAAATCGATCTCTTCCGGAAAACCTCGCGATTACAGTGATTACCGATAAGTTAATCACACATATTTTACGATCAATTGAGAATTTACGAGCTAATATAACGTGGAAAAAGGAACGGAGAGGTATTCCAGAAAGAGGGAGGAGCTCCCAGAGATCTTATCTCAGAAAATACTTCATCCTATTGAGAGTGAAAGTTTCCTCGTGGAACAGCACGTAATTCGATGCGAATATCAATTACGTCATTATCAATTACGCCACGAGATTATCTGCGAAACGGAGTTTCTGCGGAGAGAAAAAAAAAAGGTTGCCCCGCGCGCGGAGGCACACTGGCCTTCCGCGGGACGAGTGTCAAAGTTTATTTAGCCTGCACTCGAAGTCTATACCCGTTCTGGGAACACGTCGCCTACCAACGTTTCTGCTTGTAATTAATTATCGCGAGGTGCAATACCGCTCGTCGTAGCACGGAGTAATTAATGTTCGCCGTCTCGGTAATTAATCGCGCCCAGCTAGACGCCGATGTCCCTTTCGATGCGCAAGATCCTTTTCGCCGGCGATCGTACATCTGCCAAGTTTTACAATTCGCTGTTAAACGCTTTCTGGGTATTAGTGCGACGGACACGGGTGCTAAATTCAGCAGTTTTCCTCAACGAGGGGAGGGAGGACTAGCTCGATTTTATTAGCCCGATCGGATTATGCGCGAGATTTGTGACAAGACAACGCCAAAATAATTCGAAGTACTTTTCAAGCTAACGAATGCTCCGGGAGCAATTAAATTGAATTGTGGAAAGGAATTCCGACATTAGAAAGCTGAGAAGTAAGAGACTAGTCTTACACGTATACATATGCACGCGTATGGATTCGTGCTCAAGTGCGACATAGGAATTATTGCATATTCCTGCATGTTTGAACGACTCCTCGTGCGCGCCTATAGAGCCGGGCGTGAGGGTCAATCTCTCTCATCCGGCGTGCATCTCTTCCTCGATCTTTTTTT